TCAGCAGAGGCATCAGGTCCTCTTCACAGATGAGTCTTCAGCCTGTTCCACACTGATGGGAGTGTGGAGGTGGGGGTGTTGCGTACTTTTTTCCATCAGTATGTATTTTAAATATAAATTAGAATAAAACATATCAAATAAATATGTCTATATATTTATCATACTGTAAATAGACAGTTCTTTGTTTTACAAAACTGTAATGAATCAACTGAAAATTCTTAAATGGGTTAAACGAGTCTGAATGACAGAAAAAGCTGCAAAGAAAACAAAGTTATTCAGTTCCTTAAAGCCAATGCTTATTGGGAGCACCAGCAAATAAACGTGAACAGTGAGCATCATGGTAATGTGCCATTCTTCCTGACAAAATTGCTCTAGTTCTGACAAGTTTTGGGGGTATATTGGGGATAAATTACAATGAGCAAACCTGGTGATATATTTTTTAAATTCTTTCCTGAATTCAAGGCTCCTCAAGGACATTCACTTTCTTCTTGACAGATCACTTCAGTATAGATTTTGCTTTGAGATACTATGTCTTTGTCCTGCTGAATGGTGAATTTTTTTACCTAGGTTTAGTATCTTAGGAGATTTGTGTAAGTTTTCCACTGGGATTTGCCTATACTTTGCATCATCCATTTGTCTCCCAATACTGACAATTATCCTGGTCACTGCTGTGGAATAGCATCTCTTAACATGATGCTGCCAACACAACGCTTGAGATTTGATGGCGTTGAGCATCACACTGCTGTATCACAGATTGCTTTTATGTAAACTCCATTCAGAATAGGAGATGGGTTTGCCACTATAAAGTCCCTTTTTGTGCAGTGATCGGGATATAGTTGGCACGTGGCACACTCTTGGAGTGAGAGAAAAAGAAAACAGCTTCTCTTATAAAACAGCAATGCGTGTCTTTTGATAGCTCTGTGTGTGTGGATGCTGGCAGGCTGGCCCAGCAGGAGTGCTGTATCAACAGCAGAGAAATCAACAGCAGCTACAGCCAGAGATGCCACTGGTTAGCTGGAGATTGGCATCTACTGAGGTACAAGGGAACCATTTAGTGGCTAAAGGATTTCTTTTTACAGGTAAATAAATTTTTCCACATCTGACAGAATTACTATTTAATATTTTAAACATCACACAATCTGTGTGTGAACAATATAAGAGGAAGAATTCTGGAAGTGTTAAAAAAGGAGATTTTCAGTAATAATAATTTCTCAAAAAATAGTATTTACCACTTCTATCATGTGCTGAAACAGGTCTTTCAGCTGCTTGGTTTCCTTTTTCTGTTCATCTACCACTCGGAGATTTAATGTTGCCGCTGTTAATCGCACCAATATCGGAACCGACTTGTCATTGA